CCCAGGCTGCCAGGAGGCCTTTTGTCTGCCAAGGCTGAGCCCCACAGGCCATCTCCGGGCTGCCGAGGCCCTCCGTCACCACTCTGTGTGCGTCCCACTCCACTCGTTATTTTTGCTTCTCCATCTGCCCTACTAGACCATGACCTTCTTCATCATGAGATCTGTGTCTCTGTCCCTAGCATGAGGACCGTGGCCTGACTGAGCACAGAGTGGGCACTCAATGCCTTTTAACCAGACAATTTTAAACAAATCATAACGTTTCTAGGCACTGCATGTGCCTGAGTAAACCTCTTGGGCTGAAATTTTAGGTGAGCATTTTATGTTTAGCTATGCGGGAGGCCCAGTTCATCAGCCCTTTTCCTCGTCTGGCCCTGAGCATAGATGCCCCTTTGCAGTCATTCAGCACTCTGTCCCACCTCAGGGTGCACGTGTCTTGCACATCAAAATTGTCAAGCTGGCTGCTAATGAAAAGTCAATCCTTTCACATTTTAGTCATATTGCCTGAGCCCCAATAATGTAAAAAAACTAGAAGGCTGGGATGGGAGGAAGAGCTACAGGGTCAGGCTTAGAATTCTGTTGACATCTCTGTCCTTCCTTGGCAGTCGGTAGCACCAGGGATGACTGAAGGTCAAGCCAGTTAAATTTCCATATTATGGGCTTGGATTCCTAGGGGTTATTTATTTGTTGGTACACTGGCGAACCTCGTACTCAATTCGAGTCTGACATAATCAGTTCTCTGCGTGGTGTGGCCCATTCTTTCATTTACTCCCATGCACTTTGGGGAATGTCTTTAGAATGAAAATCTGAATTCTCCCCAACCTCATTCATTAGGAGGATGGAGCAGGTAGGTGTTCTCATGCTGGAATTTTTATTGTTTTGAGCCACAAAGCTGTGGACCAGGCAGAGGTGAGGAGCTGCAGGGCTTAGCAAGGAGGAAGGCAGGGCAGGCTGATGGGCTGGGGACGCTCCCTCAGATGCCTTAGGTTGGATTCGCAAGCCCTAGAGTGAGAGACAGACCCCAAATGGAGGCAGTGCTGAGCTCCTAGGTGGGTGTGTCATGGCTCCACCCTCAGACCACACGCCTTTCCCCCTAGAAACAGACAGATGCATGCATCATGCTCCACCGGGCTCCATGTCAGTGCCTGCCATTTGCTGCGAGCGTGGAGTTGACTCCCACACCACGAGTCCCCATGCCCTGCCCCCAAGCTCCAAGCAACCCAGACCCTGCTGCTCACTTACACTTCGACAACCCAGATCATGCCTCTGCTTGTATGTGGATGGGGCCATCCTCTTTGGCACTCAATGTCCCCTGGCAAACCTCTCAGCTGCCTTTACTACCCAGCCCTAAAGTCCATGCTGCCAGGAGGCCGTCTGTCTGCCAAGGCTGAGCCCCATAGGCCATCTCCGGGCTGCCGAGGCCCTCTCACCACTCCACGTGCGCTCCACTCCACTCATTATTTTTGCTTCTCCATTTACCCCGCTAGACCATGACCTTCTTCATCATGAGATCTGTCTTTTTCACTAGCACCAGGACCATGGCCCCACTGGGCACAGAGTGGGCACTCAATCCCTTTTGACTATACAATTTTAAACAAATCACATTTTAGGCACTGTAGGTGCCTGAGAAAATTTAAGCATCATGATAGGACATCTCATGCAGGTTTTGCTATTCAGAAATAAAATTTTGAAATGGACTCTCAAGGGGGCTTAAGGCTTATCAAGTGGCATGAAGACTACAACAAATAGGGCTGACCCTCCTCATGCACTGCTGCATGGCCTCAAGGTCAAGGCAGCCTGTCTCAGGCTCCCAGGGGCTTTGTCCTGGATCTCCTGTTATCTCCCAAGAGGAGCAGAACTCATGCCCCTGAGAGGCCCCTCAGACCGCACCGAGCCCTGAGGCTCTCCTGCCATGGTCCTGCAAAGACAACTTCTGAAATGCCTGCGGGTTTTTCCTGGGGGAAATCCAGAGTCTCTTGTTGCTACCGTGACAAAGAGAAGCCCCAGGCAGAGGCCCTGGATGGCTCCTGACCGGGAGATACCAGCTGGCTGTGTTTAATTTTCCTTGGCTTTGAAGCTTCTGAATTCATACCGCTATGTGGGAAGCAAACGTTTTCTCTAGCAGCCAAGGCCCTTCAAGATTAATGCTTTTGTTTTTTTTTTTTGAGACAGAGGGTCTCACTCTCAGTCAGGAGTGCAGTGGTGTGATCGTGGCTCACTGCAGCTGCGACCTCCCAGGCTCCAGATCCTCTCACTTCAGCCTCCAGAGTAGCTGGCACCACAGGTACATGCCACCATGCCTGGCTAGTTTCTGTATTTTTGGTAGAGAAGGGGATGTCATCATGTTGCCCAGGCTGGTCTCAAACTCTACACTCAAGCTATCCTCCCATCCTGGCTTTCCAAAGTGCTGGGATTACAGGTATCAGCCACTGCGCCAGTGTTAACACATGTCTTGTCGTTACCTTAGGCTGGTAACACTCATACCAACAAGAGGAAGGGCTGGGCACAGAGCTCACAGAGTTGCCCTCCTGGGGCTTGGCAGGGGGCTCGGATCTAAATGGTTTTATTCCAGAAACCACAAAGGAGGTGCCAGCTCTTTTGAGGTGGATTTCCGGTTTAAATTCACCTCTCTTCTGCAGGCATCTCCGAGGCTAGGAGCCGTGGTGTGCTCGGGAAAGAGTGGGCTCGGAAGATAGCTGGGGCTGGATTTGGGTCCCAGCTTCACCCCACATGGACCTTCAGCGGGCCCTGAGCACATGGGCAGGCAGCTCCACCTGCTATGGTCGAGCTGTCCTTCTGCTGGACTGGACAACAAGGAACATGTGCTGCAAGGAGGTGTGTCCACACCAAGGGCATTGCTGCACTGCAGTTAGTGTGTGCTGTTCACTACCGTCTCCACTACAATTCCCAGCACAAAGGCAAATCAACAAGGACAGCCACAAGGCACTATCCCTCTCTTCACTTGGGCCCCAAGGGAGCGTACATTCCACAAAGCAGGAGCTCTTGTCCCTGCTGAGCCAGAAGATGCATCCTGGAGAAGTCTGCTCTGGATGTCGGAAGCCAGGGCAAGTGACAGACACCCGTGTGGCCCCGAGGTGGTGGGCTGCAGCTGCTGCGGGCCACTCAGGCCGTCACAGGTGAGCAGCCACTCTGCCTTCACCGTTCTCAGTGCTGGGCTCAGCAAGTACATTCTTGTTTCTGAACAATGATCTCTGTTTGCATGGATGGTTCAGACAAGAATCACTCAGCTGAGGAAGCCCGAAGGAAAGAAGGCCAGGTGAAAGGTGATCTTTAGTTAGGCGCAGTCCAAAGGCATGAAGGTGGTAAGAGCAGCCCAGGTGAGAATCGTGGGCTCTGAACTGCTTAGATTAGAATGCTGCTTTGCCACGTTCTAGGTGTGGGACTGGCCAAGTGGTCAGTCACTGTGTGTGACCTTCCTCATCTGCAAACTAGGGCAGATATGAGGGCCTAAGGAGTCGTTTTGCTTTTTATTGATTATAGATAAAAAATGCATGTGAAATACTTAGAAAGTCGCTGCCATAAAGTACATGCTGAGCAAAGGATTTGCTGAAATACATTCATGCTTTCTTAATGGCAGGGATATGTTCTGAGAAACATGACACGCGTGATTCTGTCACTGTGTGAACATTGTGGAGTGAACATACACATCCTAGATAGGACAGCCTACTACACACCTAGGCCATGCGGTATAGCCTATTGTCACTAGGCTACAAATCCGTACAACATGTGACTACAATAAATACCTCAGGCAAATGTCACACAATGGCAAGCATTTGTGTAATTAAACAAAGGGAAGTTACAGTAAAAATATGGTGTGTAGTCTGTGGTTATGCAGTGCACGACTGTAATTCTTTCTTTTTTTTGAAAGGGGGTCTTGCCATGTTGCCAGGCTGGAGTGCATGGCAACAAACAGGTATGATCACGGTGCACTACAGCCCTGACCTCCTGGGCTCAAGCGATCCTCCTGCCTCCACCTCCCAAGTAGCTGGTATTACCACTGCTGACTGAGCACCAGAGCCCAGCCCATGACTACAACTCTCACTCTCCAGAGATAATGTGGTTTGGATTTGCCCTGAAAGTGAGATACAGACTCACAGGATATGAGAAACAGCAGCTGCCACCTCCAGAAACTTTCTGGAATCCCTAACCTCAGCTAGCAGCATGGAGTTGGCCAAGCCTTAGAATAGTCAAGATATCGCAGAGGTATTATAAAATGACAAACAGGAATTGATGCCTGGGCAACACCAAAGCAATCTCAGAACTCTTCTCCAAAGGAGTAATGAAAGGAACACGGAAAGCAGTGAGAAACTAGTGAAACTGACGCAGAAAGAGAGGAAGCCAGACTTCCGGGTGCCCAAACATGGGCAGGAAACCCACGCCACAATTGTACTTCTAGATACTGAATCATGAGCAGTGCATGACGCAAAGTGGGGTTACAGAGCTGAAGGGGATGGTGAGGATCTCGGCCTTCATGGAGCCTCTGGGAGGTTTATTTACAATGATAGAAGGCGCCACTTGAGTCCATTCGAAGCTCCTGCCTGGAAGAAGGCAGGGGTGACCTGGGGCCAAGAAGGAGCCACCGATAGCTCTAACTCCCCGAGGAGTTGTTCAACAATCCCAGCAGAGCCAAGAGCTTTCATCAGAAGCTCCTTTTGAATTGAAGAATTAAGCAATAAACCATATGTGAAATGACATCAGAACAGTGCACAGCAAAAGGGATTATCTCCGGAAACTGAAATTCTGCGTTGCACTAATAGTCTTGAATTACACTGACTTGGAACCTTCCAGGATGAGTCCTGCAATTTTAGCTCTTGATTCATGAGTTAGAAAAGGCAATACCCGATTCATGATTTAAAACCACCCTTTCATTACACCGTGATTACATCTCAATTTGTACCAAGCTGGCTTAGAAACGACATGAAAATGATGCCATTAGAGTTGGAGGCTCCTGCCCGCAGTTTCAGAGCTGGACGAGAACTTACTTGTTAAGGATTTTGGCTCTCTTGGCACTTGAAAAATTCTCCAGTTGCAGGGACTCTTGAGTAAGGAAAGCAACAGCCAGGTGAAAGTAGTTGTTCCACAGCTGAAACCAAAAAGGAGGAGACGCTAAGTTGCTGAAGAGCTTGACACAGGAGCTCAGCAATGCAGACATTTTTTTTTTTTTTTTTTTTTTTTTTGAGACGGAGTTTCGCTCTTGTTACCCAGGCTGGAATGCAATGGCACGATCTCGGCTCACCGCAACCTCCGCCTCCCGGGTTCAGGCAATTCTCCTGCCTCAGCCTCCTGAGTAGCTGGGATTACAGGCACGCGCCACCATGCCCAGCTAATTTTTTGTATTTTTAGTAGAGACGGGGTTTCACCATGTTGACCAGGATGGTCTCGATCTCTTGACCTCGTGATCCACCCGCCTCGGCCTCCCAAAGTGCTGGGATTTCAGGCGTGAGCCACCGGGCCTGGTGAAATATTTCTATATGATAAGCCTAATCCCATGCCTAGCCTAGATCAAGAATTCCAATTCATAAAAAAGGAAGAGAAACAGCCAAATACAAACATGAACAGAAGACACGATCAGAGAGTTTACAGCAGAAACCCACACGCTGCTAAGTATGCATAGCCTAAATAATCATCAGAAAAATGCCAATTAAAACAGAAATCAATCATTTTAAGGAAATCAATGTTGAAGATTCTCGATAGAAAGAGCTGCTCTCAAACAAGGTTGGCGGGATGGCAAATTCCTAAAATCATGTTATGAAGGAAACTTATCATTTTCCATAAAACTTAAAATGTCATATCATTTGGCCTAGAGATCATCCTATTCCATAGCAATGGGCGCACTAAGAGGCACGCACGTCACATTCTTCATGGTAGCACAGCTTGTGACTATAAACAACTAGAAACAGCCTCTAGGTTATCAGGACAGAAATGGCTGAACACATGTTGGCACATTTACATCGTGGAATATGACAGAGCTGAAAAACAGAGTATGATCCAGTTCACATTAGAGCCCAAAAGAAAACAAGCAGAAGCCCATATAAACGCTGAAAGCGTGACAAAGAGTTCAGAACAATCAGTTACAGGTTATCCCTGCAGACGGGCAGTAAGAGGCAGCAAAGGGGTAGGAGGGAACATTTCCTATTTTACCTGCTAAACTGATTTTCAGTGCATATATATTTTATAAGGAGAAAGTATGCTATGACATATGAAAACAGGCATTCAGCAGAGAAAAATGATATGTAATTATCTAATTATATCCTCTAATGCCAATACAACAGAAATTTAAAGTTAAGAGATTATAAAAATAAGGGCAATGCAAATGGAAAGGCAGATGGCTAATTTTTGTTATCTGGTAACTTATTTTTTGGTTGGATCACCCAATGGGTGAACAAAAATTCTTTGGGTTCCTTCTGAGTGAACCACCTTGCCCAGGAAATAAACATGCCATTGTATCTGCATGCTTTTCAAAAATTCACATACTTTACTAAAATAAACTAAGTAATGATGACAGGTAAAGTCATTATTAGCAGAAACACATCCAGAGTACAATGGACCTGAGAGCCACACATCTTGGATGCACAGTAAGAAATCAGGCCAGGCAAAATCAGTCCTTACAGCAGGCATGCACACACGCTTACAACACGCACACTCTCTCACTGCATTCCCCAGAGGAGTATTTCTGATATGCCACAGGGTCTGGGGGGCAGAGTCTCTGGCCTGGTCAAAGCCATGCTTAGTAGCACAAGGCCAGGAGAGGATATAGAGGGGAACACGGAGCTCTAAAAGCTAGCTGAGCTTGTGGTGCAGACCGCCATCTCCTCCTCTGCTGATCCTCCTCCACATTAAGATGGTCTGAGACAACCTTGGCAGCTACACACACTGGGACTCGGTGGATTCCCTGCTTGGAGAGTCCCTCCTTGTCACTCTGATTCAATAGCTTCTCTCTGGAACAACTCTATTCTTGCTAAACTGAGCAAATACTCTAGAGGCACAATTTTCACTCCTCAGTTTCCAGCAGTACATACTGTAAATTCCACTTCCGCATCTCGGATGGGAGAGCAATTAAGTTCAAGGATCAGAAATACTGTAAGGTATTGGCTCAGACCAGCAATTTGTTTTAACATGGTTTCTGCACAAAGGTCGTGTCTACTTCTTCCATTACCTGTAGCTCGAAGTTGGCTTGATCCAGAAACTTTTTGTTCAGCATATCTGCATACTGATTAATCGCTCGCAGGAAGACTCTGAAAGATCAAGAGAAAATTACATAATTACACGCTTACGCTCTGGCACATTGGTGGGTTTGGCATTTCAATGAGATACAATCCCAGACTGTCTGGAATGTGAACTCTCTAAGTCTTGTGCAAAGCTGTGAGGTTTTGCCCATGAAAAGACCAATGGAATTATATGCAGATGTTCTCCAAATTAATCAAGGAAATTAGCACATGCGGAATGAAAGAAACAGACCAAAATAACAGTTTCTGAAAGTAACATTTAAAAAGTATCACTAAAAAAAAAAAAATCTAATTTAAAAAGATTTTTTAAAAAGGTGTCAATTAAATCTTTTTCTCAAGTTGCAATGTCTTAACATTATATGATTCTGCTGATCTTAGCTTAGCTGGCTTTTTCAAGTGACCCAGTCGAAAGCATTCTTCACACGGAGCTACCAGGCTTGGAATAGCCGCAACATCGCCAGTCTTGGAAGCATGGCTTATGGCTTCAGCGTCACTGGCCCACTTTCCACATGCTAATTTTGATCACTATGTTACTAGAGACAAGTTTAACAGCTTTAGTAGACATGAAAGTGATTTGACAAGAGTTTTAGGAATTTTAATTTCTTGATTTGTTAATGTATAATTGTAACATTCTATAATACCACAACTTTATATACTTTTTGTAATGAAATATACGATTTGGCCAATCACACATGACTCAAGAATACTGTCTCTCACATGCTTGTTTCTTCAACAGAATTGTGTTATAACCCTTGAAACTGTTTACAATACTAAAGCTTCGTCCACTACTTTTTAAATGGCCCTTTTCCCTTTGCACAAAGGCAGGATGTAAGAGGAATTAGCATTAGGTCACGGATAATAAACTTAATTCCACTTTCTCTATTTAGACAGTAGGGAGCAGCCAGAGTGGAAGGGAAATGTAGGTTACTTACTAGTAAGTGCTGTCCTCTGACAGCGTTATCTCTTTAGCTAAGTGCACCCGGAGAAGCTCCCCATGCCCTGGCCATGTCACAGGCACTAAAAGGCAGTGAGCCAGGTAGGAGGGAAGAAGAAATTCGCCACCTGGGGTTTTAAGGAGGTCTCTGTCACCACCTGCCACCACCACCTCCCCGCGTCACGGCTGTCACTGCAGATTCTCTCACAATCACACCACGTGCCACTCTGAGAAAGGGATTTACAGGCATTATTTCATCGAGAAACCTATCAGCTGGATCTGGGACCAAAACAGCTGTGAAAAAGAGCCCGTGACAGAGTTTGTACTTTTGGTCACTAAAGAAAACTGCAGGCGGAGTTATTTGACTTCTTCTCTGGGGACATTAAAATATAATCAGAAAGGCGGAATTGGTGTTTTTAAGTGACTATTAACGGAGGGATGTGGGGATCGCTGCCTTGTCCATTAACCTAGTGCACAGGGTGGGCATCAGCATTCATCAGCCGCAGGGTCAGACTTTGCAAATATAGGATGCCCAGTTAAATCTGAATAATAGCTCTTATTGCTGGATTCCGTAATTGATTGAAAAATAAAAAGCTGAATACAGGACATTTAGGGCATCCTGACAAATTAATAGAGGACGCAGGACAAAAGTTGCAAAATTCAGCACATACTTTGTATCTACTGAATGTCTGGCAATTCTAATCAGGTCCCAGTCTTGGGCTGGGGTCAGTCACGTCACCTTCAGCCCCCAGAAGTACAGGGTATGAGCTAGAGAGATGATCTGAGTAAGCCACCTGACCCTTGGCATCTGTGTTTAGAAAGCTCCTGGGGATGTGCACTGCAGCAACCCCAGGGGGCACAGAAAAGCCCCCAAGTGTCAGCAGAATACAACACCTTCCTGCCATGAGAGGGGTGGGCTGTGCCACGATGCATACAGACACAGGGCTTTTGATCATTAACACAAATCTTTTTCTGTAATTGTTTCCTTCAGCTTTAGAACTCTGCTATGCACAGAGTTCCCTAGGATCCTTGTGAGCTGTAAGAAGACATTCTTTCCAGCCCTCTCTGACAATAATGGCAAGTTTACTAAAACTCACATTATTATTACAGGGTAATTATTTTGCCTCAAGATAGCACCCAAACAGTTGTGATATGCTGCTTCTAATTAAGCTCTGGGACAACTGCAGCTAGTTCAATAAAGACAGTTCTCAAAATGACTTAAAAAATATGTCACGTAGGCTGGGCATGGTGGCTCACGCCTGTAATCCTAGCACTTTGGGAGTCTGAGGCGGGTGGTTGACAAGGTCAAGTGATCAAGACCAACCTGGCCAACATGGTGAAACCCCATCTCTACTAAAATTACAAAAATTAGCTGGGCATGGTGATGTGTGCCTGTAGTTCCAGCTACTCAGGAGGTTGAGACAGGAGAATCGCTTGAACTGGGAGGCGAAAGTTGCAGTGAGCTGAGATTGAGCCACTGCACTCTAGCCTGGTGACAGAGTAAGACTCAGTCTCAAAAAAATAAAAAATAATATGTCATGCTAAAATAATATGAAGGCTGACCAAAACTTTTCAAGAAACTGACAACTGAGAAAGTGCAGGGCTGAGAGGCAGATTCTGTAATTTAGATTACCTATAAATTTTTTAAAATGCCAGGACAAAAAACAACATGGAAATTCAAGTAGCATGAGGAAAATTGAAGGAAAGATCAAATAAAACCATAATCAGTGCAGTAAACAAAGATCAGATGATACTTGGGCTCAGTGCATCAAGGCCTGCGTCACTTGCACAGAAAGGTCCAGGGCATGTATAAATGATATCCTCCAGCCCATACCTGATGGGACCGAAAACAAAGCTACACTCCGGGTCAATCACCTAACTAGGCAAGAAGAAATGTAACCAGAGACAACTTTTAGGTAAGAAAATCGATTAGTTGGCCAGGCACGGTGGCTCACGCCTATAAATCCTAGCACTTTAGGCCGGGCGCGGTGGCTCATGCCTATAATCCCAGCACTTCGGGAGGCCGAGGCGGGTGGATCACGAGGTCAAGAGATTGAGACTATCCTGGTCAACATGGTGAAACTCCGTCTCTACTAAAAATACAAAAATTAGCTGGGCATGGTGATGCGTGCCTGTAGTCCCAGCTACTCAGGAGGCTGAGGCAGGAGAATTGCTTGAACCCAGAAAGCGGAGGTTGTGGTGAGCCGAGATCATGCCATTGTACCCCAGTCTGGGTAACAACAGCGAAACTCCGTCTCAAAAAAAAAAAAAAAATCCTAGCACTTTGGTGGGCGGATCACCTGAGGTCAGGAGTTCGAGACTAGCCTAGCCAACATGGTAATACACTGTCTCTACTAAAACAAAAAAAATTACAAAAATTAGCCAGGTGTGGTGGTGTGTGTCTGTAGTACCAGCTATCTTCAGGAGGCCAGGGCAGGAGATTCACTGGAACCTGGGAGGCAGAGGCTACAGTGAGCCAAGATTGCAAACTGCATATTAGAAGCTTTTGCATAACAATCTGCTTTCCGTTACAGAGGAATATGAGAAGGATCACAAGCTAAGCCAAGTGTTTGGATGGCAGGATGCCTTCCCAGACTAAATGAAGGGCTCCACACAGCTCAGGATCATCGTCCTTTGTCCAACAGGCAATCCTAGGTGTGTGGAGTATGAATGTGCCTGACTGTGCATCCCTGATGACTCTATCTGTGCTGGAGACTGCTGGAGTTGGGTTTGGGGTAAGAGAAGGCCTCCAGATTGTGAGTAGAGCATAGGTATCTTGAAGGCAGTGGCCATATCTGCTTGTTCACCCAGGTGCCCTCAGTGCCAAGTCAGCACTTGGTACAGAGTATATGCTCACTAGGTAACTGACATAGGAAAGAATGAAGGTCTTTCCTATGGATGGAAGAATAAGTGAATGAATGAGTGGATGAAGGAGCTGGCTCAGAAGGTCAGGCTCTGGTCCAAATTGGAGGCCAAAGGGATGCTAAAGTATTTGGTTGCCTCCGGCTCTCCTGGAGTCCTTGCATTCTGTGTAGGTTTTCTGGGGTGGGATTTGGCTCTCTTCAGGTTCTTCTCCTTTTTTTAATTCGAGACAGAGTCTTGCTGTGTCACCCAGGCTGGAGTGCAGTGGTGTGATCTCAGTTAACTGCAACCTCTGCCTCATGGGTTCAGGCAATTCTCCTGCCTCAGCCTCCCCAGGCGTACACCACTATGCCTAGCTAATTTTTTTGTATCTTTTAGTAGAGACAGGGTTTTATAATGTTGGCCAGGCTGGTCTTGAGCTCCTGACTTCATGATCTGCCTACCTTAGCCTCCCAAAGTGCTGGGATTACAGGCGTGAGCCACCTCAGGTTCTTCTTATGCAAACTTCTCATCAGGCATTTGTCGTCTATGGCCGGGCATTATTCATGATTCCTTCACTCCCATCTCCACCCCCAGAGCTCCTTCTCTCATTCTTTTCCCCTCTGGAGGTGGTTACTTGGTGGCAGGAATCGCCTTTCACCTATCAGGATCCTGGCAGCAGGAAGAATGGACCTCTTGCCACTGCACATTTCCTAAACTGCTCTCATCTTAGGAACCATTAGTTTATTACCTAACGGAGCTCTCTGAGCCAAGATGTGTCCAGGGCCTCCCACTAGTCAAAACAACGTCCTCTGTCCAGCAGGAAATCCTAGGGCCTGTGGAGTCTGAACGTGCCTGACTCTGCATCCCTGTGCTGGACACTGCTGGAGTTCCCTTCAGGATAAGAGAAGCCCTCCAAACAAAACACAAACAAAAACACCTTTAGCTTGCCCCTGTGAAGAGTTAGAATCCACCCTGAGGCAATTAAAGTTCCTTGTATTCTCCAAATTCAGCATTCATCAAGACTCAATGAATGGAATTCAGGCATCACTTAGCATAAGAAAGATCCTTGCAAGGGATGGGCGGCTGATAAGATGGCAACAGGAAAGACAGGCACTGCTTCTCTTCTACCAGAAAAGCCAGGGACTGGGGGAAGGAAGGGATCAACCACCGTGGGAACCAAATGAGTCATGTCTTATTCTGAGCCAGGAGAATCAAGTAATTTCTAAAAAAA